AATTTCCTCTRCAGGTGACTTGCCCCCACTTTTTTCACCTATGCATGCTGTGGTATTAAAATTAAGAACACCATTGCAGCACTCTCACCAAGAAACTCCACTACAGAGCTGCGTTTCTAGCGTGCAGCATGGCACATCAGCACATCACACTGCCAGTGACATGATGCAGGGTGAGCCAAAACACCCCAAAAATTCACAAAGCTGCCCACTAGCCTGAGGTTTTTAGTTTTTAGTGTAGCAACAAAACAGCGAGTCAAGCACAGGGCTCTTTAAAGGAAATCCTGCATGCATTTCCATCCCTAAATCCCAACAGAATCTTGTAATCCTCCACCAAGAACAGCCTGTGCTCCACATYGCCTCTAACTTTAATGATGACAATGAATCAGTTGTTTCCCAAAGAAGAGATTCACTTTTCACATCACTGCTGTTTTCACACCACRTCTGACTGCATAGCAGAGGCTCCAGCAAGATGCCAGGGTTGCCCCTATATTTTCCATGCAGAAAAGTGAGGAGCACTCCCACAGGCAAAGGGGATGGGGTTCCTGCCAAGCATGGCCCTAGAACTAAAAATATGAGGATATTAATCTCATAAATATTGCAAATTTACGTTCTTTTAACAATATTTATGTTCAAATACAATGCCCTACCACTAATTAAATCCGCTTTTAAAAAAAAATACATACAGGAAGCAAAACGCTGCTCCCTCCACGTCACCCTTGTTCTTGGAAAGCACYAGATGTGTTGACTCTGCTCATCTTGGGGTTTTCCCAGGGGGTGTCACAGAAGCTCAGACACCAGCTCTGAGCTCTCATGTGGGGGATGGAAGTCACGAGCTCACAGATACCAAGTTCTCTGAAAGGGTCATCTGGAACTGAGATGGAAAAYGTGCTCCTGCCCATGAAACCAAAGGGGTTTTTCTCATATTGTATTTTCTCTCCATGGTTCAAGGGCAGGCAAATTTCAATCTCTCTTGTGAGAAAATATCTATCAACAGTATCACCTAATAACACAAGAGACCAGACAGGCACCAAAATTCAGGATGAATTGGCTGTAATAGAAGGGTGGGGAGACCACCTCTACTTTTGGCAATCTGCAATAACATTTTGCTGCTATATGATGCATTCACCRTCCCTCCTGTTGCCTGGTACAATAGTGACATCTTGCCCTTGAAAGTCAAAATCTTTTTGCTAAGGGACCAAAGGAAAATAAAGAGGGTTTAGATTTAAGCACAGCAGAATTAAGAGTTTTACRAACCGTGAACTTGCTGAGGAATGTGGTTTTAAGTAATCCCATTGCTATTTTCAAATTCAGGTTGGGTTTACTTAGAAGCTCCAGCAAATGAGTGTGAACTATGCTCTCCATCCCTGGCAGAAGAGGAGCAGGAGGAGGAGGAGGAGGAGGAGGAGGAGGAGGAGGAGTAGATGAAGGAAGCCAACAGCTTTGATTAACAAGAAAGTTAGTGAAAGCACTTTCTCAGGAGATGGTCATCTGAAAGATGTGGAGCCTCCATGTCTCCCTGACCAGGAATACTCCAAGCACCACCTTGCCCCTCTCCAGCATCCTCTGACTTTGTTTTKTAAAATTCTATTTTGCAGAGGTTTAATCTGCCAGGCAAGAGATGCAGCCCCTCTTGCAAAGCAGCCTGGCTCTCTCTCCACTGGGAGACAAACCCACTGGGCTCCAAATGAAGCCATGGAGAGGCTGGAGATGGAATCAGCCAGCCCTGCATGTCCTGACAGAGCTGCTCCAACCAGCCCTCTCTTGGGAGCCTGGGAGTGGGGAATCACCTTCTCCCATGCTGAGGAGGATCTGCTCTGTTTTCCTCATTTCTGTTTTAACAGAAACAAAATGCTTTTGTCCCAAGTGAAATGGACGTTTTCACCAATCTAAAACCAATGTTATACTCTGGACAAACATAAGAAAGAGATTTCTTCTGAAATCATTACAAACAGGTGTACTTCGGCACATTTCAGGCCATTTYTGGAAGTAAAAATAGTATCACACTTGCTTAGATCCATCCATAAGTCAATCCAGTGGGAAATCTAGTTATTTCACCCCAACTGTTTGCCAAGGAAACAGAGTTCAAAGGCACTCAGCTCCRAACAGACACCCACCCACTAGTTAAGAGAGAGTGGATCAGCACAAATATTGGTGGTAGTTTTTTTCAGCCTCCCCAAAGCCAGGGATATCCTTCCACCATTCAAATAGATCAGCCCACATTTAGAAAGCAAAGTGATGAGACTGGAGAGGGGGAAGCAGATTTTAAAACTCAGTACCTGGCTTGCTGTCACAAGTGGAATACAAATTTGTTGTTTCGCTTCAACTACACATTGCATCTGTTCCAATTTCTTGTCTCTTTTTCCCCAACAAGTACCCATATCAGTGTTTTCATTATGACCTTAGTCAACCTGAAAGAAAAATAAATCCTCACTGGATTTCCCCTCACCGAAAACAACTGCTCCTATGACCTCTTAGGGGTTTTGATGTGTCAGATACTGCTCAGGACAAGATTTATTTCACAGAGCTGGTATTGCTTTCATACAAGAGCCTGTGCTCATACACAATCTGTACAGCTTCCTTTATGTATACAATTAAGATGGAAAAATTATACCATGCCAAGAAAGCTGTCTTGCCAAACAAGAGCCACCCCCTGAAGGGTATATTTAGAAATCAGAGGACAATTTAGGAAGAGAGTCACACAACATAAGCCAGAAGAGTAATGAAAAGTAGGGAGAGTGGGAGTTTCTTTCAGGTATTGAGCACTCCCAGACGGCACCAGTGAATACCCAGACCGACACGACTCTTTTTCACCTCACCAAGTAAAGCAAAACCCAACACTTACGCAGCATTTTTCATTCATCCGTCTCAAATTGCACTGCAAGGGGAGTTGAAGTGTTGGATTTAGCACCCCTCTCTGCAAATTGATGCCCAGAACTGAAGTTCAAGGTTGCAGAAGGGCAAACACGAGGGACAAATGCAGGCCATGGAGTGGTGTCAGCTGTTGTGGATGCTGAGTTTGGGCCTTCTCTTCCAGACTTGATGCAGCCCATCAGCCCTGWGCAGGCAGGGCAGCCCGTGGGGTCTGCCTGCTCTGTCATTTCCTTAGGGACACTGCTCCACAGCAGGTGTTTGTCACCAACAAGCARATGTGAGCAGCACACCCATTTCAGCCCATACAGTCCCAGCGCTGCTGAGGCCAGTGAGCACCGCTGGAGACCATCCAYCCCAACCTCCAGGCACTGCACCCTGCTCAGGGCTGCATCCTGTCAGCTTTTGAATGCCCCCAAGGATGGACATGCCACAACTTCTCTGGGCAATCTGTGTCAGTGTTTGACCCCTCCCACAGTAAAAATGTTTCTTCTGATATTTAAAAGATATTTCCTGTATTTCCATTAGTGTTGCTTTTCTCAAGTCTTGTCTGTGGGCACTACTGAGGAAATCCTGGCTACGTCTGCTTTATCTCCCCCRTCAGATATCCATCCACCTGGATAAAAGCCCACTGGGCCTTCTCTTCTCCAAGCTCTCTCAGCTTCTCCCCATAACTCCAACCCYTTCAGCACCTTTTTGGCCCTGCACTGGACTTGCAGTAAGTCTCTGCCTCTCCTACACTGGGCACTGGACCCAGCAGTCCAGATGCACATCACAGTGCTGAACAGAGAGAATGGATCACATCTTTAAATCTGCTGGTGACTGACCGCAACCCTTTGAGCCTGGCACTTCAGCAAGTGTTCAATCTACCTCATCATCGGCCCATATCTCACCAAAATCAACGAGGATTTCATAGGACACAGCATCAAAAGTCAAATCTACAGTGAGCAACATCCACTGCCCTCCCCTCAGCTGACYAAGCAAGTAATCTCTGTAAAAGACCATCAATTGATCAAGCATTCCTCCTTCATAAAACCATGCTGAACTAAACCCAAACACCTTCTTGTGTGGTAGATATTAGGAAGAAATCCTTTATYGAGAGGGTGGTATGAATTAGAATAGTTTGCACAGAGATTTCCAGGGATGCTTCATCCCTGGAAATGCTCATGGCCAGGTAGGATGGGGCTTGGAGCAGCCTGGTTTAGTGGAAGGYGCCCCTGCCCACGGCAGGGGTTTGGAACTGRATGATCTTTAAGGCCCCTTCCAACCCAAACCAYTCTATGGTTCAATTATCATCTTTACTATATCTGGAAATAGTCTCTAGGCTCATCTGTTCCACCTGCTGTRGGGCCAAGGTGAAGCTGATGAGCCTATAGGGCCTGAGATCCTCCTGAACTGATACTCATTTTCCTTCCAGTCCTCATTAACCTTCTCCATTTGTCATGTGATTTCACAGATAGTCAAGAGCAACCTCAGGATGATAGAGTATGGCAGATGAACAGTTTGGGGAATTCCAGTGCAGACTTCTGCCTTTGACAGAACAACCTGCCCAAAGATCCTGTATGTGTTCCTCAACATTTTTCAAACATCTAAGATCTGCTAGGACTGTATGACTGCCATTCTGAGTAATGACTGCACCACATGACTTGGATTAACAGTCACAGGGGCAAGGGGAAACACGAGGGACACCCAGTTGTGGCACAGAGGATCAGAGTGCTGGCAGCAGGGACAGCACCTCCCTTTGGAGCAGGGTTAATCAAACCACCCCCCCTCCTGTGCTTTCAAGGCACGGACTGCAACATGAACATGTAAAATCAGTTGCAAAAGCCCTCACTGACCAAGGAGTCACACAGATTAGAAATGCAGACCACCCGTTTCCCTTCCCCCCTCATGGTAGCACATATGATTTTGTTCACAGGCAAGTCTAAATTGCCTAAGCTGCACCTCCACAAATGAGTAGTCTTGATTTTTTTCTTCCCTCTCTCAGCTCTTCTAGCTCAGTAGGTGAGATGGGTTTAAAACAAACAAACACCAAAGCCCAAGGGAACTGAATTTAAACTAGACGCCTACAACTACATTTTCAGTAGCTAAGTTATAAAAGAAGAAAGATAAAAAATAACATTTCAGAAGTGTGAAGGTTGTCACTGGAATATTTTTATCTTAAGTGAGTCACAAAGAATGAGCACTAGGATTATTTTTTTCTTAATAACACTGCAAAAAAAAACTTAAAAGAAACTACCCCAAATCAAGACAATGAGAAAGCTAAAAGCTACACAAAGCTTACTAAAGACACTGGCTCCAGCAGCATGCCAGAAACAGGCTCTTCTTACAGACACAGAGAAGTATTTTATTCAATTGAACAAAACCCACCTCTGCTAACCCAGAGCAGAAAACCTGCAGGGACCAGAAAAGCCTGCAGGCATTGACAGCACCTTTCCTATACAAAGGCTGAATCCAAAGTACTAAGAAAGCACATCCTTGAYCAGCAGGAAGGGGTGTGTGAAGAAGTGGTCTGGAAGGAGAGGAAAACAAAAGTGGGGAAGAAGAAGAGACAAAGACCTCATGGACCAAGACTGCAATTCAGGGTTTGACATCACTGCAGTGTGTCTCCATGTGGCTATTATATGAGTTGGCAGAAATGGCTTGTGGTGAGAAAAACAGCAATTCTTCATGTATGCAACAAGTCCTAGGTTAAAACTTCTGGTTTATGCCAGGTACAGAACTCCCTATAAAGAAACCCACTTCTTTCTATCCATATGAAACAGACTTTTAAGATTTTTTTTCTGACAAAGTTTTTGACTTTGTGTGAAAGTTTAATATTCTTAAGTCATAATGATAACAGCATGAAAAATTCAGGGCAAAGGTTTTGTCTTTTTTAATACAAGGTCAAAATGTACAGTCAAAGAAAGCTCTGATAAGACACAGGGTTGTTTAAAGTGCAATTTAACAGCAAATTTAAGACATCCATCTCTTTCCCTGCAGCTGTTACTTATGCTTTCAACAGCACTGGTACCACTCCACTGAAACCGGGTTCTGCTCGAGTGCCAGATCTCCGTGGCTAAGTGTTCTTTGTTGGTATTTTCACTGCAGTAAAACTGCAAGAGCCARAGGCAAGTCAGTGAGATTGAGATGGCTCGTGAGATCATCATGGGAAGAATGAATCATCTGCCTTGGAAAATATAAATGTTTATCATCACTGCTTCTATTCTGCCCATATATTCTTGAGACACGCAACTTTTACAAGGGGGTTGGTATTTATATAATTCCATAAATTTAGACAGTGCATTACAAACACAATATGTAGTTGTAGTTATAAATAGTGGAGCAGCAGGACAGAATTTTCAACTATTTCTTGTTTCCTATACTCCACAAATGAAATGTGTGACAAGTTAAGGAACTAAAGGAAAGAAAATACAGCTATTAGGCAATAAAAAAGCCCCACGTGAGTCTCCCTATTTCAGCTGGTGGAATGGAAGGCTAGACTTCTACCAAAGAAAAAGAAACTAAAGCCAGTCCCTGAGAACTAACTGCAACATTTAACCATGACTAAAACACAAAGAGCAGATTCTGAAGCGGAGGTTTTGAGAATAGATTACTTTTGTGGCATGTTTTCAGCGTCAATGTGACAAACTAACACCTGCCCTTGACAAGAAGCATTCTGGCAAACAAATGCACAGTATAATCAAAAGGCTAAATTTGTTTCTAAACCTTGGCTGATGCTTTTTCTTAGTGCTCACAACACTGTGTATGTATGCACAAACCCATGAAAAAAACCCCAATCACTGGCTGCTGTAGGAGCATTGAAACAATGTACTAAGGCATTCTTCCTGAAGGCCAACTTTTAAATTCCCAATGTCTGTGAGAAAAGTAACCAGTAACTCTTAGTAAACTTTCTCAGCCTTCATAATAATATTGAGGGTTTGCTTCAGGAGTTAATTTGGCAGGCAATAACTGTAACAGGAGTTAAGGCCAAAGGCTCAGTATGGAGTACCTGAGATCAACCAACAACCCAGCACGGATGCAAGCAGTTACAGTATCTTTCTTTCTTTATTTTTTAAATAAGTAAAGCCTGTGCCCTCATTTCTATTTCTCTGCTCAATCAACAAATTATTTCAGGGAGGAAGAGACTCTTGGTACAAGAAGTATTTTTTGAACCAGGTCAGTTATATCTTCCATATCTTACAGTAAAATAATGTGTGCACTGAATTAYCATTTTGAAACTACACTGAAATACTTCTGGACACTCAAGACAGTCCACACACCCACCAGATTGTGACTTCACATGAGGAAGATCCATCCTACTTGGCTCTGGTGATGGACTCACACATGTTTCATAAGAAGCTAAGACACTCAGAATTCCAAAAACCTAGAGTGGGGATTTCTACCTACTCTAGGGAAGGTCATACAGTAYGCCACTGCTGCCTTTGTGCCATGTGGAAATGGAATTACTCAACATGTTTTCCAATGAAATGGAACACCTTGGGCAGAACAGATCAGGAAAGTGATTTTAACAGCTCTCARTATAGACTTTAATAATTTTTGGTTACACTGATGTCTTTCAAAAAGCATCAGCTKGGTAGAAAATGTGAGCCTTTGCTTTACTGTCCACCACAGACAYCCTCTACGGTGCTCCTTCACACTGAATTGATGGGGCTTCCCACGTGTCCTCATCTACCAATTCAGCCATCTGTGAAGTCTGATCCACAGGTTCTTTCTCACTCTGGGTTATTAATAATGCATCTTCTTGTCCTCCTTCTAACTGAAGGCCAGAGCTACAAGAACAATTCRATTCATCGGGTTTGTCCACCGGAGACTCTGCTGTAGTTGTAGAGAACTGTTCAGTTTCTGCTTCAGCCTGTKGTTCTGTTTTATTATGAAGTCCAAACATGTTATTTCTGATGAGGTATCGAACACACTGCAAAATCACATTCCTTTCATGTCGAATGTCCTGGGCCAGCAACTGGAAATTTAAAAAAAAGAGAAGATGATGCGCATTTCCCTCAATTGCTCTGTACACAACCATAGCAAAATGTACTGATCTACCCAGTAATTTCCAACAWCCTTCCATTTAAACAGCTGGCTCTTCCACACAGGTCCTGGACGCGTGGGGCTGGAGATATGGGACAATACCAGAGATGATGATGTTCTCATATCCAAACTGTAATACCAGGCCATGCATTCCAGCACATCAGGGTAGCAGGTCTATTAGCATATTTTAAACTTTYTAAGTTATACTGTATCTGCAATTTAATATCCCATGCATCTTTAATTCAAATCCCCTCTGAGCAGAAGATAAACACAAGGAAAGGATATCTTTCATCAGGTACCAGACAATGGATTTAAACAGCAGTAATTGGTTTGGGCTATAATACACTAGCCTAATTCAGTAGCTTAATCAAYGTGCTAGAGGCCTCCCTTCTGTGACTTTAACCTCACTGAAGTTCATTTTGGTAGTAGGAAAARGAAACCTAACAGCCAGAGAGCTGAACGAACTTTTTTCACTGTGAGAGTCATCAGAACTAGTACTCTGAACAAACAYAAAATCTGAGGCAATTGGCTAAATCTGTAACTGTGAACATCTGCAGAAGAGCTGTATTACACACCGTGGAAGATCTGGCTGAGTTTGGCTTATAATGTCACTGAGAAGCTTTTTTTGTTGTTACRAGTTTCAAAAGTGGTTTAACCAGATACTTTTAAGTCTGAATACTTCTACTTAGACTAGGTGCTAAGAGGCATTACAAGCAGATGACACCTAAAATAAGCCTTCAGGAACCTTCTGAATTAGGAGATGTACTTCAGGCCAGACAAGGGACAGCACAGTGATACTCTCTTTGCCCAACTGGAATAAAAAGTAAATTCCCAAACAGCCAAATTAAGGCAGATGGGCTGCACCAATCATCCTAYCAAAGACTGCATCTTTGTATTTTATTTTTAATGCAGGAATAGCTATCCGTAGAATGACATTACACCAGCTTTTGATTTTGTCAGCATAGAGAATGACTAAATACACATTAATGCTTGCATGGCTACAATAAACACATTTCAGTAGTGCCCAAGCTCACAGCCGGACGACTGTCGAGAGATATCTGCAGCTATTCTCCTACCTCCTTTTTTTTTTTTTTTTAAGCACAATTTCATTCATGCAACATCCTTTTTTTAGCATTCTAATTCACTTTCTGGATGCATTTTGTAAAATTTCAACCTTGCTCCCTCTCAAGGCTTTTACACACTGACCATTTCTGATGAGAGTGGAAGCCTACCTGCAAAGCTCAGGCCCTCCTCTGTGATTCACAGCCACAGTACACGTTCTTAAACAACAGCTTTGAACAATTTGAAAAAGAGAGAAAAACCTCACTGAATCCAATTTTAAAAATGGACTATACTGGCAAGCTTCAACTCAGGTTTCCTATGTTCTGCCAGCTTCTCTCAGCATGTGGAACTTCATCTGACTTTCTTCCAGAGTTGTCACTGCTTTGATCACCAACAACTTTGAAGAGCAAGTGATAAAGGCAACTGCATGCTTAGGGAGCTACACAAAGGACAAACACTTTCTTTTCAGTCACTAGGAACTTTAATTCTTGGCAGCAATGGTACTATGTGCTAAAAAGACTACCAAGGGATTTCTCCCCCATCTGCAGCTTGGAATGTACCTTAGCAGGTATCTCTTGCCGCAACATCCTGTGCTATTTCAGAGCTCTGATGTCAGTGGCACCCTGCTTTCTCCCAGGTTTTGCCCACAGCAAGTTTTCCCTTGATGGAGGAGCTTTATGCTGACTATTTATAGAATCACAAGGGGTTGTACTGCTTTTGAGTAATAAATATAATAAAAGCTCCAAGGTTTTATCAGTGCTTTCTAGAGAAAGACACCAAGCTTTGTGGCCAAATGGATTGCTTTGTACTGCTACTGGGAACATCTTGGCTTGGACTCACCCCTACAAACCTTTCTGCCATTCTGAGACATCTGCTGATTTTTAAGGTGCTGTCTCTTCCTCAGATTGATTAAAACATGCCTAGAGAAGAAACACTTGTGCATGCACGTTTCAGCTCAACATCTTCTTCAACATGCACATTGAAGTACAACAGCTTCCCACTCTGCAGTTTAAGTCACCAACACACTTCTCAACAAGTCTCTTTGCAAAGAGATGCAAAAAGAACTGTGTGCTCCTCCAGCAGTGGAAGGTGACTGAACAGCAAAGCTGGGAGCAAAAAGATCAGATCAAGGAAGGCCACTGGGATTACACACAAACAAAACCTGCTGKATACTACCAAAGGGAAGGGAAGAGAAAGGAACAAAGGTTTTGCTCCTCGTGCAGCTCATTTCAGACAGATGATTCAGTTGTCATCTCTTGCTTCCCCAAGTCAGTCATTACCTGAATGCATCTCTATTTGTCTATTAAAGCATCTTCACCTTCTCCAAGGGAAATGCTCACTTTACTATTTTTAAGYCAGGCCCTGTGCTAACAGACTCTCTAACTTCCCACAGGGAAGAGGAGAACCACTCACAAACAGTTCTACTTTTGCACAGAAGGCATTATTTTAGCACTAAGACTCTTACCATTTCCAGCAGAGTKGGACGGCGCTTGGAAAGGGGAGGCAATGTCTTCCTGCCCCATTTATCAGGCCCTCTGGGAGGACGAGCATTTGAATTGGAGCTCCTYAACGTCGTGCCTGCACATTGCGAGCGGCTTTGATTCGGTTTCAGACTCTGAGGAACAGGAGYAGTTTGAGGCGTATTTCTGAGCACAGCCTGGTTTTTCTCAGCTTTTGTTGCCGACTTGACAGGGATTTCTTAAAGAAAAAGAACACACTTTCATCTCAAACTTAAAAGCCTCTTTAACATGCTCATATCCCCATGCACTGGCAGTTTGTTAGTACTATTCTTGCTTGCACAACCTGATGTGAAGATATTCAAGGTTTACTTTGAGGAAGGGAGGGTTTTGTTTGCTTGGGTTTTCTTTTTAAATACAAAGAATAATCTCTAAATGTTCACATAAAGGAAAACAAGGTATTTGAATTCTGTAGCACAGAAAGAAAAATTAAAGGAGTGAGACCTGAATGAGATTTTCAAACCTCTGCCTTCTTTCAGTTAAGAAGTACATTCCTTCACATTATAGCCTGCTGCAAATTTGGTTGCTGAGAAAATTGTGATATAGTTAGGACAGAGGATGCCCGAATTCAATTCACTGTCTGCTAGATGGTTTCTCACTTTGGGTAGGCCACTCAGGGCAAGTAAGGCATAATAAAGATCTGCAAAAACAAGCAGCAGCAGCAATTCCTCACCACACAGTGATGCATACACTCAGAGATGCGCAAAATCCAAGTAATGGAGAGTTCAAGTCTTACTGCAACACTCACCAACCTTCTACGGAAAAAGCCCTTACAGATGTGAAAATTAGTTCACAGAGTGACAATAACAGCTTTTTCCTGGCACTATTCAAGCATGATTTGATGCGAGACTGAAAACAGGTTCCTTATTTTCCCCCAGCTAGGGCAGAAAAGGCTTGGGAAATTTGATGACATGCAACCTAACCAAAGATACCTCATGCCTCCCCTCTCAACCCAGGATATGCTGCTGAGAAAGGGACAGCAAAAAAAGCCACCGTCCTGCTTGCAGTCATTATCACTGCAACGTGACACAGAGCAGAAGRGCAGAGGAGAAGAGCAGAGATTGTTTCTACACACCTTCGGGTTCACTGTCGGATGCGCTGCCATAGTTGACCGACAGTGAGCTAAGGGCAGAGGTCACCTGCTTGGGGACAACCGTCATTCCCAACCTCCCATCTTCCTCAGCTGCCTCATCCTTATCGGATTCTGCAGGGAAAGAAAAGSCAAGAGGGATTTTTCCCAACAATCCTGAGTGCCAACAGCCAACCTTGCTGTTAAATTCCCATCTCAGTACCACACAAGCCTGATGCTGGGCACCACTGCTCAGTGCATTGGACTGAGAGAAAACTCCCCACATTTGTCTACATTCTACAGACATGGTGGCAAAATGGTRCCTCCACTGGTTTATAGTCCTGCCAGCAAAGTTACACAAACAAAAAGTTTCCAGAACACAGGCTTGAGCTTTCTGTTTCCTTCTTTGCATACCAAATATAATTATAGGTTTTGCTATCAAGTGTAGGTAAAGAGAAAGAGAGGATTTCATAATATGTTTTGAAGTCTTGCTGGACTTAGTCCTATGGAGATGGAGAAGGACTTAGAAGCCAGTCAGGGGGAATTTAAAAAAATAAAAAAAAGGAAAATCAAAAAAATTTACCTATACAGTAAAATCATGGATTTGGGTTGTATATTTATTTTTTTTTAGTTTTACTTAGTTATATTGTGTTTGTTATTACTTGTTCTGGTTATATTTCTCAATCRTATAAAAAGTTGCAACTACCTTTAATAATGTGCAATAAGCAAATACCCCATTCCTTCTCTACCCTCTGTAACAGAAGTCAGTAGCTGTATTTCGGCATAATTAGAYGTTTTATCATTAAGTAAAACACAGATGCTGCAGGGAAATACAGATACATTTAAGCATAGTTAGGTTTCCCAACATGCAAAGTTTAGTGGAATAAACAAATTGCATAGGGATGCTGAGTTCTTGTTCTCACTAATTGAAGATTATGTTTTCAAGAGGAAAAACTCAGCATCAGACATCTTTCTAGGGAATGTATTCTACCCTTGTTGCTAAAAATAGCTAGAGCATAAATCAGCTTACATGCCATACTCTAAGAGTACTGCATCACTGCTGACTATATTATAARTAGTTACATCTGAARAATTTATATTGCTGCCTGCCAGCATGAGAAAACAAGACATGCTCACAAAAGAAAACAAAAAAMCAAAYCCAAAAAAAACTAAGCAGCAATACTTCAGAGARCACACACTTATGGAGAATATCAAGAGTAATAATACAGCAAAGAACAGAATTAAAAGAAAAATACTGACATTTTAAGTAATTTACTTAACTCATACAAGGAAATCCATTTGTTTTCACGTTCTAAATATTTTTATTTTCAAAACCACAAAGGGATATTTAACAGTCCTTAAAAAATAATTTGACTGTTCAAGTACTTCGTTCTTCTTCCAGCTTTATAAATACTTTCTTATCTCACATGTTAATTTACCAACCTARGTTGGTACATATCCTTTACACTATTGTACAATATTTACATCAGAATGTGTAATGCTGCACACAAACTTCATGTCAGACTTCCAAAATAGCRGCTAGCAAGCACAGGGTCTCAGCATTTACATTTCAAACAACTATTTAAAGTTCTCCAAGCTCCTTCATCTTACCAACATCACCGTTTGCCAGAAGACCAAGAGGGTCCACATCCTTCTCATATGCTTGGCCTGCCAAAGCATTTTGTTTTTCATCTTCCTTGTCRCACGTGCTGTTTTCTGGTCCATTGGCCTCATTTTGAGTTTTATGTGCATGATAATCACCACCATTTTTCCTAAATTTCTTCCAGAAAGGGCGCCATTGTCTTTTCCTGTGTCTTCCTTGGTGTCCAAGAGCCTCTCCATTTTCTGGAGGTTTCCACATCCCTTTCATTTTGCTGGAGAATAGAAACACAAAAYTCGTATATATCATAAGCTATGAGAATAAAAACAACTGATGTAACCAAATGGCTCAGGCCCTCGTTCAAGGTTCACCAACACAGAACAACTCTAGGGCTTATACTAGCTCAGCTAACATGAGGTGACAAGCCATAAAATCAGTCACACCTCTGCTCAGGCAGGGCAGTGGGACAAAGCTGGAACCTGAATGAACAGTTTGAAGTTCAGGACTTCTTAGCTTTTAACAAGGCCAAGGGTACATGGACCCTTGAAAGTTCCTTGATAATCTACAGTGTGAGGACATAGTGCTKTCATTTCAGATAACAAAGTCAGCAAATACCCTCTTCAGTTAAACATTTAAGTAATTCAAAACAGTGGTAACATGAAGTTAAAAGGAAAGAATCTACTATAAGCATACTTCCACTGCTTAAGTCTCTTTTTTTTTTTAGAGCACCAAATCCATGCAGCCATCTGACACCATCAGCTGCAATGACTACCTACTCCCGCCTCCAACTAACATGCCATTCATCTTTTCCATTCCAAGGAAAAGGAATAAAAGAMGTGCCCACCAGGATAATGCATTTTTAAAAACCTGAAACAAAATAACAAGCCTTAAAATACAGGAAGAGCACAGCATGCTGGTTCCACTTATCTTCCATGGCTCCATAATCTTCCAGGTTGCAGCAAGGTGCTAATATTTTCTGACAAGGGATTTATTTTTGTTTGTCCTCATTCCAATGTCTAAACAAGTCATTTGATACTCCATCCTTCTTGAGTTACATGAAATGCTTTTTTCACTGCTTCCACCTATGCAATTCTTCTAGGCCTCCATCATAGAGCCCTTTCAAGCCACCCACTACTTTGCTCATTCAGAAATGTTCCCATTACCTGCATTCCTCTCTTCCATGTTTTTTCGACTTTACTAAGCCCTTCTTGAGAAGGCAACAAGGCCTGTCATAGCACTCAAAATGACTTTATATTGCAACAAAACATATTTAATTTAGTTCTCCAGTCATTCYGTGACAGTGTCTATGCTGATTGCTCAGCCCTGATGGCGTCACCCACCACAGTGCTCCTGTGGCACAAGTGGCAAGCCACTGCCTTCCTGTGCATCAGTCCCTCTCCCACAAAAGAAGGCTAATATTAACTCCAGGGATTCAACTCCAACAAGACAGAAAACTGCATTTCTGAATTTGTAGAACCAGGCTCTAAATTCAGCCTGTTGTACAAACTAGAAGATACTGAGCAAATATAGGCCCAATTAGAGATGCTGTCCTTGACCAAAGGTTAACAACTTTCTCAGTTTTCTGGGGCCTCAAACACCCAGAAAGAAACCCCAAGGTCACAGACATCCCAACAAACATCAGCCTGGCATCTGCCTTCTGCTGCTCCCTAGTGAAAGACATCCTGCGCTTCACTCCACATTCAGAGAGGATGGAGAGCTGTGCACTGTTATTCAGGTCTTGTAAAACACCAGACAGACTTCCAAAGTCGTCCTTCTGCATCTCTAATCTCACACACRGGGATGCTGAGACTCAGGAGTTGTAAAGCACTTCAGAGAACCACAAATGGAAAATGCCATGGAAGTGTTAAGCATCTAATCCTTTCTAAATCTTACTTAGCTATTTGCTTTAATAGTCCAGCTTGCAGGGAACAAGCTGCCTTCTATTTTTGCCTCACACATCAGTAAATTTGCYAGATAAGCACCGATTCCAGAATCTTTACTGCAGATATACGAACCCAAAATGACAGCTTATGGACAGTTCACCAAGCCTAGAGTGCTTCCAGCTCAGGGCAGGGAGGAGAAAAAGAGAAGAAATTTCTAGAATCAGCTAGAGTAAAAAGTTGCTAAGTGAAAGTAAACAACCTGCAATTTTGAGGGGTTTTTCTTCCTAACAGTTTTCCAGATGTAAAGCTACTRACAATTGTCACAGTATGGAATTGCTGATGGACATTTAAGACAACTTGATGCATCTGACTCACAGCCACAAAAGTTAGCAAATAAAACCTGCAGACATCAAATAATTTATTACTGTGACAATGAAAACTCATCTTTGCTCTTACGAATCTCCAAACATTTACATGTTTGCAGCTTTAGCTTCAATGCCCAGGTTTGGTTCCTTGGGTACAAAGCACTCCTGCAACTTTTTATCCTTTGACAGAAGTTTTACTTGACTCTTCTATAAATATTTCCTTTCAGTCATAAAAGGCAACCAGTTGGACAGGGGCAGGTAAGTGCTGGAACTTCTGAAGCACAATGCTGCACCAAGGTAATTCACATTGTCCGCATTTAATAAATTATATTAACTTCTTATTCAGCACTAATTCAACCATTTTACCATGGTGCAAGTTTTGTTTTGTTTGCTGTCATCCCTTATACACAAAGCTAGGCAAACCCCAGCTTCATTTCCATGCAGCAGCAAATGGCATTTAGCAAGAGCCCCTTAGGACTGAGTCTGCTCCTTCCTTCCAGCTCATTCTAGTTTATAAATAAGTAATATTTTAGGAGTGTGGCTCATTATAACACTGTTTAAAAAAAAAAAAAAATCTTCCCTAGCAGGCCCTAAAGCCAAGCTAATGAAGTTAGCTGGTTCCACCTAACAATGAAACTGAGAGAAAAGAACAAAACCATAGTGAAAAACAATTTGTAAGGCAGAGAACAGAWAAAAATCCAAGACGAGTAAGCACTAGCTCAGAATATTGGTAGCAGATAGATTTAACTAAATTTCATGTAGTTTTCATTATTACTTAAGTTGGGTCACTTCTTTCTTCTGTCCTCCATCATCTTTTTTCCCCTCTTCACTTGATAGTGATTTGTTATCAAAAAACAGAGAGAGTAAGAAGTCAAATCTCCTGATAAAACCTCTGTTGGCCATTTTCAGGCAATAGAGGATTAAACCATGTGGAATCATTATGTCACATGACTTTTGTCCCCATTACCACTTTTTTCCACAGATCAAGATTATGCTGCTAATGAATAACCACTAGAATATGGTTTTCTCAAACAAGCCAGAATACCAGATTTTTATTTAATTTAATACCATTTATTGTTTAATTTAACTGAAGTGGACTTTGAAGTACTATGAAGGAAATAAAAGAATATTACATCTGCAGTTTGTCAAATGACCTGTTCTCTCTTAAAGGTCACTCGGGTTGTGTATACAGTGSAAGCTGTAAGTGCTGGGAGACCACAGTAAGAGAATTTCTGAATTCAGTAGGAGGAAGGCAACAAGCTTGGTTCAAAACACTTACCCAAACTGTTGGGTAGTCAGCACTTCTCCCCTTTCCTCCTTCTGCATCTGCATTTCCTTCTTCCTTTCAATGTTTGCCAACGTAGGAAAATTTCTAGAAGAGAAAAAATAGTTTCGGTTTTAATAGGCTCTTAAAGTATTCACTGTACTTTCTCAATTCCCCCTTCTTTACCAGCTTCCTCCATAAACACTACAGATTKTTAAAACTTTTCAAGGAAGTTTAACAGACTATTTCTTTCATAGAAAGGCATTAGTGAGGAAAAGAAACCTGAGCGCATTTACACTTACATATACATATGCAACAAACAAGAACAAAAAAATTTAAAAAAATCTACTGCATCAGCATTCTTAGATTTACCAACCCATCAAGCAAGGTACAGACAAACAGTTTGGTTACAGGCATGGACCCTCTGTTTGCCCCAACACATAAAAGCATGGTTYATTCCTCCAATTATATTTCTATGGAGCTTCAGTTGGATTATTTGAATGACATGCCTTTAGCAAACTAACTGCTGACTTCTTGTAAACTTTAAAAAAAAAAAAGTTATAGGAACAGTTTCTGGGTGCACCAGATTCTTTTAATGTGACAGTYAGGGAAAAGCACAGAAGTTCCTTCTCGAGCAACATTCAGCATTGTGCTTGTGCACTGACCTCTAGTTCACCAAAATCACTGCCCCTTTTTAATTCCAGGTTCAAGAAAAATTGCCAAATCATGCAGATGAAAAGACATATACTGTTACAACCATCTCCCAAACAATCTGTTCTCTTCCATTCCCCACCCCCCCAACATCCTTCCTTCCAGACAAGCGCCTCGCTGGTTCTAACCCGCAGAGCCTGTGTAGCAGGCTTTTTACCATCAAAGCCCAAAAATGGCTGCACTACTTGCTCTGTAAACATCAGCCAGCTAAATCCCAGCGCTTTGAGATAAAGGTGGTAAATGAGAAACACATGCTCCCCCAGCTTCTGGATAGAAACACAAATCATAAATATTTGATGTCTATTAAAATGGAGTAAAGAGAAACTTGCAACAGCTTCTCACTACACATAGCCATCAAAAAAGACACATAACTTTCTTTAAATATTTAATCTTATCACAGGCATTTTCCCCATATTACAGCATGAATTCTAAGTGTCACATTGATTCAAGACATCTTCAAGGGAAAAAGAGAAGCATTTTCTACATGACAAACTTAAATACACTAYAGAACTTGTCTCCTTTACGAGGACTTGAACATAAGCTGTCAACATCTATTTTCATTGGATTTATCCCAGAAATCTGCCATTCAGCTCAAGTGAGTACAGGAATATGATGTTTTACCTCTGCTTTTCCCTGTTAGTTACATTTGTTCATCCATGTTCTAATACACCCAGCACACAGCAAATGTGCAGTGAACTCCTTTATCTCAGGAGCTTCACACTGACAAAGACCCCTGTGCTTGGCACCTCTCTGCAGTTTTAGGATAAGGTGCTTTCCTCCACATACAAAGGCTCCCAAGAAGGACAGCAAACTACAAAAGAAGTAGCTACGCTCAAAATCCCCAACCTTGTTGTAGAGACTGGGGAGGTGTTTCAAATATAAAGGAAAACCCTACATACTAGAGCAAAGGAGCCTTCAAATGCTCCAGTACTTATGCTGATTAAGGACATATTCAGACACGCTCTCACAACACGATTTGAGACGTGACTGCCTCCCACTTTCATTCCTGTGAGTTACCACTCCCTCCACGAGCCACCGTCATGGACTGCACAAACRCTTTCGGTTCCATTCACTGCCAAGACTGACAGATTTCTCACCTAAACCACCCTTCCAGCTGACACAGGCAGTAACTGACAGCTGGCAAGAGCTCAAGTCACAAGTCCCAGTATGCCTGCAGAAGCACATCTGAAGGCATCTGTAGTGGCTGTGTTTATTTTCTCCAGCTCTTCTCAAATGGTAAACGGCATTTCACTCACTGCTTCTACCTCATGCCTCTACTGAGTGTCTCCACATAAAAGGCCACGTGCTTTTATGAGCTGATTTAGGTTTGCACCCTTCTGAGAGGGCAAGCCCTCTTCTTCTCCTAAGAAAACAACATTGTTAAAACRTTACCTACAAACACCACTGAAGTAGAAGTAGCCCAGTGCTTATGCCTTGCAAACAACTTGTCAGAGCTTGAATACAAACAACTTCATCAGTCCCCACACGGCTGTACAAACCTAAGCACCTTATTGTTTAGGTAGARTTAAACCAGGAGGGGATGGTCTGGCACAGCAGACTTCATGAAGCCAGTACTGTCTCAGAAGGCAGSCCCGTTTCATAGCAGCTGCAGTTCCCAGCCACAGACACTTCTACAATCCAAATGGAAAGTTTTTCAGACTAAATTGCCAGGATAGTATCAGAAAAGTGGTTTTCAAGCTAAGATGAGCATATTACATACACCCCAACAAAGTGAGACATGCAGGTAAAGGACATCCCAAGCTTCCAGAGACATGGAACAGTGACACTGAGCATAATCACTAACATGTGTGCCTTAGTGAATAGACTTTTCTCAATAAATGAGTGCACTAGCCAGGATCATGCATTTTTTTTTATAGGCCAGCATATTTTATCTTGCTCACATAAACATTGAAGTAGCTCTTGGTGAGCAGTGAAGAAACAGAGCTTTGCCAACATCCAACAGAAAAGAGACCTGTTTCTATAGCAGTTTACACAATGAATTCCTGAGTTAAGAGCTACACAAGTTCATAATTTTAATAGAAACAGCACTGCGACCAAAAAGCCTCAATAATTTCTTGAGCTTGTCTTTACTGCACATGCACAGCCAACAGCAAAGGAGACATGGATAGCCCAAAGGGAACAAAAATGACCCAACAGAGCTGATAAAATCCTGGCTTAACTTTGCCTCATCTAATTTAACCATATGTTAGCTGAGGCAGTTTTATTGCTAATACATCCCAACAGATCACAGTAAACTTTATTGTATCTTTGTTTACCTTGATCTGCCAATACATTCCTTCTACTTTGCTTTGTCTTCTCTACTTTTACCAAGATTTAAGAAATTATTTTCCACATTACATATTTCACTACTACAATTCCTAACTACTCTAGGATTATCATTGTGCAACTAGAAAACCACAAATTAATAAAAAGTGGTGTGGTTAATGGTACTGGACTTCAATCACTAAGCACATGCTCACCCTATGAGATGCATTGCAAGGAAATACAACAGACAATGCCTATCTGAGAAAACCAACCCCGAGAGGTTAAAGAAAGGGGAGCAGAAAGGRGAGAATTTACAAGCAACACGTAAGCTCAAGAAAATCCTCTAATGTTAYATTAGGAGCTAAGCAAAACTAAATTTAACTATTCGCTTCAACACTAAAGCAGTCTTGCCACATTCTTACTAATAACCATTGCTCAAGAAATGTTGGTGAGAAACAGATGGGCTGGCAGGACCCAGATCTCACTTGTGAAGTAGGGAAGACAGCAATACCTCATTCTGACACACTAAGGAAATGCATTGCAGATAATTCCCTTTAAGCTCGTGTTGAAGGAAAARTATGCTGAAGACAGCACATTTCTCAACACTTGGAAGGGACAGGACAAATCAAAACAAGAAAAGTTGATGTCAGACTTCACAACCATCTGTCTGCAAAACACAGGGAAATCCTGAGATCCCATGGAATTTCATCTCTATTGCTCTTTGCTTAATTAGATTTCTTGGCTCAGCAGGTTTAACAGGAAAACAGCATTCTGACCCAGCATGCTTCATCCAGAGGTACTCCTTAGCTCTCCCCCTCCTCTTTCCTCTAGGAGAGTAAGGTTACACTTGAAACACAAGCTCTTTCTTAAAGATTTTAAACAGGATACACGATTGAGCAACACAGCAGCTAATTAAGAAGAAAAATCTCAACTCTGCAAGTAATTATTTATAACGGCTGAAAGAACAAGCAAGACAGGATGCAGTATGGAAACACACATATTAAATCACTGCAACCTAATAAGAAAGAAACTCTTAATGACCTAAAAAGATTGATTCTGAGRCTGGAGCTTCTAGAAATAAAAAGGTTTTTTCTTGTCTCCATAAACCTAAACTGCCTAATAGCTCAGGCTCCCTCTGGTGTCCTTTTTTTCTGTACAATGCAATGTTTACTGTGAGTCAACAACAGACCTTCAGTACTAAACTGCTGCTTTGCTGGCGACCCAATTAATGCYTGACAAAAGTTCCAGCTGGCTTTCTCTCTCCGCCTGCCTCCCTCCCCCCCTTTTTTTAATTAAAAAAAGAAGGATGCTCGTAGGGCTTCCTTGCTGTACAAAGAGTAACAAAAGCCACCCAGGTAGTCATTCTACACCCATCCATCACAGCTAAACACGATGCCCGCAGAAGGCCTGAAATACCAAGATAAGGCACTGCACTACGCCATCTAGTGTCCTTGGCTCAGTCCTCATCCCATTTCTGCTTTCTGGCTGGTGTCTGTGACACACGACTTTACTTCCTTTGATTTTACTGTGCTGCTGAGCAAAGGTTTTGAGCAAYGTTGTATCAGAGCCAAATTATATCCATCTGTAAAACCAACAGTATTTACCATGAGATCCCTCAGAAACTCAGCAAAACCATCTTAGGCAGAGCATCACCCTTACACACAAGCAGAGATAAAGGTTGCTGTGACTCCCAGTATCCACTCCCCATGGTGCCTTWACCACAATTCTACACTCAATTCCCACTTCCCTGATGTTCTAGTATACAGGGGAGCACATAATGACATATACACCTTAAACATCATTCCAACACTTAAACCTCAGCATCAGCTGCTAGACAGGAACTCTCCAGAATTCCTCCCAAAACAGGAAAGTGCATGAAAAGCAGCAGACTGATGCMAAGACTGCACACAAGTACTGATCCTTTTCCTTGGAGCTCCTGTTAGAAAATTAGGTCATCGAAAGACACAACAGCAGTATGTAAACTGAAAACAAATAAAAACAATCCCTCATGCATCTTTTGAACAACAGGAAATCTTGGAATGAAAACTAATCAAACAATAAAACTTGCCTAATCAAACCCCAAACTTGTATTCRCACAGATCACAACCGATTTTTGTCTGGTTAACGATGGCATTTTAAGCATGAGAGAAAATAATTTCTTGTTTCTGTATCAAAAATGCCTTTTTTTCTTTGAAGAACCTATGTATTATTTTCATTTGTAAAAAATGAACAGCAGGYGCAACAGTTGACTGCTGTGAAGTACTGACATAGTGGTAAGATTTCCCTTTGCCTTTCTGAAATTTGCAGAAAAGCTGAAACCATGTCCAAAGGAAAATTAAAACTTGAAGGAATGAACTTACATGGGGAGAAACTTTTCTTCTCCATACAGAAAAATATGGATGGAATGCAGTTWAAAAAATCTACAATAAATTCATTTTTCATTTTTAACAAAAACTGTAAAATCTTACTAAGGAAAGTCAGTCTTAAAGCAAGAATGCATTAACAATGCCTTCTGACATGAATGCAAGGTGGATACATCAATAAGACTGCATCATAAGACTGGGTTTATTTCCACTAAAAAAAAAAATCCCATGTGACCCACTGACCTAATGCATCACCACTAATCTCAAAATCAAATTTTTATGACCTCCTATTCTGTACATAGGCCTCTTGCTCATGTTTACTCATGCACTGATCACTTGCAAAATTATGAATAGAAGTGAGAGAAGCCTCCTGCATCTTTCTCCTCATGGAAAAGTGTCAATTTTAATCTGTTCAACTCTGAGGAAAAAAAAATAATCTGTAAGATAAACACTTCAATCCTGGTCAACAGAAAGAAGTTATACCCTCTCACATCACTGAACGAGAAATAATGAGAAATACTGCTTACAGGAGAATTTTACCTTGCACCCTGCAYACAGTGTAAGTTAGACTACCTGAGAAAGTATCATTCATGGTTTCTGTTCTCTTTCACTAGAAAAGCAYCAAGCAATGCAGAAAGCCCTTAAAAATTAGGAAAACACCCTGGTGGGGTGTGGGGTCTGCTGGGACAACTTATGGTGGGGAAATCTGCACACATTATTATTATCATACTCAGTACAACAGTTCCAAATTTTTTAGCTATTAAAATAACCCTTTTATATCTTTTGTTATTTCTGACCTAAAACGTGATTAGTGATCAGTCTAAAAGGAATGAGGCATTCAGCTAAGCTGGGGTACCAAATCAAGCATCTGAGAAAACTGCTTCCTTCTCAGCTGATACTTTGCCTTTCATTATAATCTTCTCCTTTATTATGGCCTCTGCACCTCACAGTCTCATGGCTCAAGCATTCTTACACAGATCACTACTGCAGGAGTTTCACAAGGTCAATGGAACAGCAGCAACAGCAAATTCTGTGCTGCTCCTGCCTGTCAGCTGTCATCTAATGATCACACAGAGAAAATACAGTAAAACAAATTCATAGGCCACAAGTCTTACCTTTTTCTTTCTTCTCTCCATCTAGCAATCTCTTCTGGACTATCTAATTTTATTCTTTTAGCACCAGGTGCATGTGCCTAAGAAAAAAGTATTTCACAGGTGTTTAAAATGGGAAGAAGAAACACAAGTTAAAAAAGAAAATATCATTATGTCAGTATTCCACAATGTTTTCATCTCCAGAACTGGTGAGACTGTACACAGAGATGATAAAAAGAACCCATTAAGAAAACCCCATAGTATTTAATGTATTTTTATCCACGGTATTGTCCTAAAACAGATTCTCCTCAGAGGTGATACATTTTCTTTCCAGATGAATGAGAAGTAACCACTACAGAATGAGAAAAGGGGCTATGGTAAAGATGGCACAGACTCGTATTTCGGACACAGAGGGATACCTACATTCTTCCAGTGTATCTGAACAATCTTCTCATGTGCACTGAAACTGCAACCTTCTTCTGTGCACTGCAATATAAGAGGGYGAAGTTAAAACACACCAATTTATACAAATTATAAACAAGCTTTTGAGCACACTTCAAATAAACTCAGTGTTTGTTGCCTGTACAGTTTGTTACACGGGCTGTGTAAGCTAACCAGTTTGCAAAGGTGACTGTAAAAACAGCAAATAGGGATAATGTACTTTGAAACTTAATCTGATTTTAGAATAACCAGTGTGGCCAATGTATCTAATAACTGAGAAGAAAAAAAATTTACCTAAGATAAAAATTTGCAAGACCCTCCAATTGCAAATTTTGATAATTTTCAATTAAAGCTGATTTTAAAAATATTTTCCACATAAAAACTGTACATGCTATACTGAYGTCAATGAATTAATTCCTATGATTTGGCAATACTTCACAAGAAAACAGTTTAAAAGGCTTCAGTAATAAAACCAAAAAATACAACTGACACCTCCCCTATATACAGCATTCAGAAAAATATCCCACTAATACTTGACAAAGCTCTCAAATCTCTTTCCTATGCCTTCTGTTCAAAGAGTGACTTTGTGTCAGGCACAAAGGTAAAAATCAAAGCGTGAATAAAAGAAGCCAAACTCATCAACCTGTTTATGCTGTGAAATATGTTCATCATACTTCTCCTGGTTTTTATAGCCACGGTCACAGGTATCACAATAATGAGAGAAAACTGGCTCTTTTTTCTTTTTGGTCTGCAGGGAAAAAAAAAAAAGAAATAATCTCAAGATTGCAGTTACAAAATACTCCTAATCTTATTTAGTTGTGAAACACTATCAATAGTATTTGTGTTAATAAAGCCATCAGTTATATATTTCAAAAGTTTCAAAGATAAGCTAACATAACATGAAAGTGAAGACCAAATTATTTAATCTTCTRAACCAAGTGCCCTGCATTTAAAGTCTTCCCACTACTACTTTTCAATCAGTTATTGCTTCTGGAAGCACACCAGCCTGCTGGCACAGACTTACTTAGAGCTGTGAGAATTAGGCTAAAGCCCCTACTAAGACAGGCCCTGACTGTTCTCCCATGACAGGTACTTGTTCAGAGGGCAGCACAGCTCGTTCCCTCTCCCACTACACACATCAGGGTCATCTGGCTGKCTGGTCTTGACCATGCAACAGAGAACTCATGTAATTTAGGCAGTCAGGCATCACCACAGTGAGGTGACATAAAGCTGGTTGACATATATCTTTCAACAGGCCCAAGATTTACAAACTGTTATGTCTGCTCTCTGTAAGGGCAAACATGTTAGAGAGGAGAAAGGGATCTCTATAGTGCCTTGGACCAAGTTATTAGACTGACATAATTACAGAATTATTTGGGAGGGAAGGGACCACCCAAGATCATCTGGTTCCAACCCCCCCATCATACAAAGGGACAATCTATCACTAGATCAGGCTGCTCAAACCCCTATCAAATCTAGCCTTCAGCACTTCCAGAGACAGGGCACTCACAGCTTCTCTGTGCAATGTGTGGCAGTATCTCATCCCCTTCGTAGTAAAAAATGTCCTCCTTGTGTCCAGCCTAAATCTACTCTGCTTCAGTTATAAACTATTAGTCCTTGTTCTGTCACAACAGGCCCTAACAGAAAGCCTGTCCCCATCTTTCTCCTAAGTTCACTAAAGTATTGAAAGGATGCTGCAAGGTTCTTCCTGAAGCCTTCCTTTCTCCAGGCTGAACAACCCCAGCTCTCTGTCTTCACAGGAGTGGTGCTCCACCCCCGGATCATTTTCGTGGYCTTTCCCCCGGACCCACTCCAAAGGTGCATGTCCCCTACACACTAGGGACCCCAGTCCATACCTTTGGCTTGTTATTTTCTTCTGGACAACGTTTATTAAATGCAGGCACTKGCTTGCCCTGCCACTTCTGGGAGAAATTACCCTTTCCACCTTCAGAACAGAGAAAAAAAGAGATGAGCCATTCACAGTTACAGCTAACAAAACACCCCTCTCCTACCTCGGTGGGCAGCGAGAAGGGTSTAGGAAAGACCCAAGAGGGAAGAGACGGGGAAATCCTCCAGCCCCAAGGGTTCAGGACAGCCCMGGGGCCTCTGCCTACGTGGGGTGGGAAGAAGCCCATGGGCCCAGGAGACGCCTTCTCCCCGGCCCCTCACCAGCGTGCGGGCCCTGCGGTCGCGCTCCGTAGGCAGGCGGGAACCAGGCGGCGGGCGAGGTGTAGCTGTTTGGGGGAAGGAAGCTCTTGGGCTGCGAGTAGCTGTCCGTAGGAGGGTAGCCCTCGGCGGGCTGGGGGTAGCCCTCRGGCTGCGAGTAGTGGTCGGGCTGGGGGTAGTTCTCTGCTGGAGGGTAGCTCTGGGCAGGCTGGGAGTAGCTGTCGGCGGGAGGGATGCTCTGGGCGGGCTCGGAGTAGCTCTCAGCGGGTTGCGAGTAGGACTCGGCGGGCTCTGAGTAGCTCTTGGGCTGCGAGTAGGGTTCGGCGGCGGCGTAGGTGCTGGGCGGCGGGTGGCTGTCRGGCGGCGGGTACCGGCCGGGCGGCGGGTAGGGCCCGGGGGCAGCCCAGAAACTCGTGTCCCAGGAGGGCGGCGGGCAGAAGAAGGGTGGGGGGATACCCGGCGGAGGCAGCCCGGGCGGGRGCGGCGGGTACCAGGCGAAGGGGTTCATGTCGGGCCCGGAGAGGCCGCTCGGATACGGACCCCGCTCCCGACGCGCTCGCACCACCACGTGGGGCCGTCCGGCGGCGGCCGCTAAACGCGTCACGTCCGGTCCGAGGCACGGGRACCCGGCCGCGCGGGAGTGACGTCATCCGGGAGCGCCGCGGCGGCGGGGGCTGGGGAGAGGGGCGGGTGCGCCATGGCCCGACAGCTCATCGGGCCCGCACTGCCGCCCGGCTTCCTGCGCCGCGCCGAGACCGAGACCGAGACCGAGCCCCAGCCGGCAGAGGACTCCGGGCAGGGTGAGAGCACAGCGATGCGCCGGCGGTGGGATAGCGGGGCTC